CATCATGAAACTATCATTCGGGGGGGGGGCACCCCTCAGCCCCCCCCCCCCAGTGGTACTGTTGCATGCGGCTCATGGCTGGGAAATCCCGTGACAAACGTTAAGTTCACAACGTGACCACATCCGACGGGCGCGCACAAAAAAAAGACAAAGACAGTCTTGAGGTTCTTTCGTTTTTTTTTCTAGGGAGGGTCGCCTGGGGGCTGAGTTGGGATGTTGGGCAAAAAAAAAAAATCCGTCGCGGTATTTGGCAACGTGGAATTAAATCAGGGCAACTTGGAGTAAGTGCGCACCAACAAGAATACGATGCGACGCAACACCCCCCCGCCCCCATGCAACAGACAGATCAGAAATAAATGCTACGCTGTAGATGGGTCACCTCGGATCCCAGCGCGCCGGAGGTACCACACTCATCGACATCTGCACGAACGACCAAACCATCCGCTGGTTCATCCACCCACACTCGTCGACATCTGCACGAACGACCAAGCCATCCGCTGGTTCAGCCACCCACACTCATCGACATCTGCACGAACGACCAAGCCATCCGCTGGTTCAGCTACCCACACTCATCGACATCTGCACGAACAGCCAAGCTATCCTCTGGTTCAACCACCCACACTCGTCGACATCTGCACGAACGGCCAGGCCATCCGCTGGTTCAGCTACCCACACTCGGCGACTGATTCGTAGCACGAGAGCCCATCGGAGCGTCCGTGGCTTGACGTAGAAATCGCCGTTAAACAAAAAAAATTGAACGATATGAAGTTGTTGTCGCTATGATATTCGGTAATTATCCTTTAATAAGAAATGGCATTCAAGTTGTTGTAGTTGTTCTTCCAGGCCAGTTTTTTTTTTTAAATCACCCTTATATCTAAGTAATAAGATAAATAAGCAGAAAATACGTCTCGTTCGCACGTCCGCCTCTGCACATGAAGAATACAAGTGTTTCTTACATAGCCCATCAGCCACAGGGCCATCTGAGAGCGCATTATTTCAGCAGCATTCATTAAAATATACAGTACATGCAAACTCTGGAAACCGGTTTCGACACGCAGTGTCTCATCAGCAGATGACAGGCTTGCTTGGTTACGTCCTGTAAAATGCATTAGTGCACGGGACTTCTCTTTGCCTAGGGGATGTGAGTCAACACATCTGAGGATACGCACGACACAAAGCTCTCGTTTCGAGAAACACAACATCCACCTTGGGCTGCCCAAAGCCAAGGCACGCAAAGCCCTGCACAAAAGATCATCGACATGGAACCGCGACTAAACACGTGGAAATCCCCAAGCGACATCCCTCATGTGCAGCTGTCAAAAAATGTCCGCGGTAGAATTGAAAACCGGCGCGCACGTGCGAGAATGAGCGTGATGCGAATTGACGCTCAATAAGTGCAAATGGTGGCCCAGGGGAGGCGACATGCTATGCTCGTGTCAAAAAATAGTGAACCAAAATAATGCAAATCACTGGGTTTTAATTCCAGGATCCCATCCAGTGCTAAGTATTACTAACTATTTTTTATTTTACCAGTTTAGGCCCAACTGAGCTATATGACTCTTTTTCAGAAGCGACCTGGCTATCACAAATGATAGTTCAACGAAGTGGCTTATCGTGTAGAAATGTATAGCAGCGAAAAACTCTAAAAGCACTTGTTTCTAAATGTGCAGGGACAAACCGGTGGACTCTGAGAAAAATCTACGCGACCAAGGGGATAGAGAGAGAGAGACATGCAAACTCAAAATGTACAGCCATGGTCAGGGTAGGGATCGGGATCGGGATCGAACCCACGACCTTCTGTATACCAGGCGAGGTAGTTAACATCTCGCCATTGTGGCGCCTCAAGCTAATGGACACTTGCATTGTGACATTTTACGCGAGAGACGCGATCGACTCACGTGAAATAGCTCACACAACTTGACACATCGTAGAAACGCCACTTTTTTATCAACTGAAGTTGCATCCCTTTCAAATCAAGTTCTGTGAGAAATCAAACCAACTCGAAGAGATTGGAGCCGGCCGTCCGATGGAAACACTGGGTATTGCTCTTATGGAAGCAATTAAAGTAATCGAATATTCATTACCACTTGCCAAGCACCTGTTACTGATATAGCAATGAGTCACAAATCCTGTACTACACGGAATTATGTTCAGTACCACAAACACCTAGCAAGCTACAGCTTTCACATAATAGCGGTCATTCAAAGCTGTATTATTGCACATTCACGTAGCAACGATATTTATGCAACGACTGCGGCAGCAACTAAATCTGACACAACAACAACAACACAAACGTGCATTACTGGATGAATAATATTCGCCATCCCGATTCCAACAACAAAAGTCAATGCATTACTAGACTGATAGTGATGGTCATAGATATGAAAGGGAGACAACTTGGAATCGTTGAGTCAGCGCTGCCAATGGACACGAATGCCACATGCCCCCCCCCCTCCCCCGTGCTCATTTGAGCAGGGAAGGAATTTCAATTGAAATCTGTCATTACGGGATGGTAAAAAATAGTAATTTTTTTCACCATTCAGTAATTTCCACGGGAGTTCAAGACTAGAGTAAGACCGCTGAAGTCGGCACTTTGTTTAAATAAAATCCCGCGGAGCTCTGGAGTGGTGCATTTATTAGCCAGAATGTTACATTGCAGCTCGAAATGATGGTCTATATATTTTTTTTTTGCATTCAGGTTCCAATCCAGTGGTTGTTCACCTCACCTTACTCTGCTGATGAGCGCCCAACAGCACGAAACCGATCTAGGGTTTGCGTATTTAGACACACGATTATGAGTCTGGAAAGGTCAAGAGAGACGATAGACTAGATATTATATACTTAAACCCTGGTATTCTTGGTTCTTTCGATAAAGTCACGTAGAAGGGAAATAATAAAATAATAATAAAAATTACATAAGATAAAATTCTCACGACGTTTCGGTCACAACGCAAGCAGCCGTCATCAGGTGAAGAACAGGGCTGTCGGAAAGACAGCGTCCTAAACGTGGTGAGAATGTTATCTTATGTTTTATTTTTATTATTTTATTACTTCCCTTCTACGTGACTTCACCGAAAGAACCAATAATAAGAATCCATGCAGTCACGAAAGCTTTCAATCGAAACTTAAACCCTAGCTTAAACCCTGTGTTTCTCAAACTCCTATTATTCGTCATCCACGGGGACGATACGTCTTCCGATGTTACATCCTTCCACATGCAAATTAAGTCTCAGCACGCGTCTGATGATTCCTGAACCTGCCGTCTGTGACGTGGTGGGTGGTGGTGGTGGCCACCCAGCCCCTCGTGTGCCGTGCAGGGAATCACAGGTGCTCGCTAGCAGCACTTGCCCCAACAGCCCGGTAAGGCTACACGGGGGATCTTTGTGCTTGTGTGTACGTGCGTGCCACGGGTGACGTAGGAGCCCCAATTAATTCAACGCTAATTATCAAGGCCCCCTTGTTGAGAAATGTCAATGGGTAAATTCTGGAATGGCCTTTGGGAGGCCCTGATTTACCGATGCATTGACGAAATAAATAATCAGACAATACGTCTCCTCCACATATCCGTCTCTATATGATGTATGTAAGAATGTATTACACAATCCGTCAGCTGCACGGCCTTCTGGGAGTGCATCATGAGTCACGTTGTTATTTATATTCTCCAAAACGACGTTGCTGTTTGAGTTAATGATACGTTGGGTTAGTCGTTTATAGAACAGCAGAGTAATCGCTCAAGAAGTAATCAATCAACTGTCTTTAAAATACACACAGCCTGGTTCGAGAGATACCATCTCTATGAGCTTTCATCTGGTTAAACAATTGACTTGTTTTACTTATCTGTTCGCTGCAATATCATTTAAACACGCTCCTCCTTGTGGCAATGAGAAGGTAATGCACGCTGGCGAGCTGTCGAGGGGCTGAAGAGGCATGGTACGGAACAGCACAAGTTGGCTCCCATATCGTGTGCGTATAATATTTTACCAATCAGCTAATAGTTGTCTGCATTTATCACCCACCGCGAGGTGTTTGCTACATTCAGCCACTCAGTAGTAAGCATCATTCAACATGCCCTGCAAATGTTGCTTCACTATCGCTATAGGGGCCGTCCATAAATGACGTCACGCGATTTTGGACGATTTTTGACCCCCCGCCCCCTCGTCACACAAAAAGTCAGACCCCCCCCCCTCAAATATGACGTCACAAAGCTCTGCCCGCCCCCCCAAAAAAAATAAAACATGCTTCAAATCGCTTTAAACTCTTGTCATTGTAGTGCGTGTTTAATGTGGCGCTGCACTCTGATGTTGTAGGTGAAAATATTTATTGAAAAGTATATTTAATTAAGTAGAACGTGTTGTCTATATTTATTTAAAGTTGCGCATTTTGATGTGACGTCACATTTCTTCCCCCCCCCCCTCGTCACATATGTTGACAAATGTCTGACTCCCCCCCAGGTGTATGACGTCATTTATGGACGGCCCCATACACGTGAAGTGACTGCATTTCAAAACTGAAATGTTAAGGGGTACCATGATGTTGGGCGATGATGATGATGCTGAGGATGGTGTGAAAATGAGTGTGTGGTCTTTGAGGGCAGATGCATCTTTGTGTCAGGGCATTGTGTTGTCCTATTCCCGCACCTACGATCAGCGCGCTTGGCTACGTAAGGTGCAAAAGAAGTTCAACATACATACACACACACATGGTGCGGCCGGTAACCCCAGTTCGATTCCCGCTCACGGCCACCAGCACCAGTGACGATTATCTGAACCGGTCCTGGCCCTCCCCTAGGTCGACTCGGCCTCAGATGAATACCTGGTGCGATGTTTAGACATCGCCACTGGGGAGACAAAGGCGGCCGGGCGTGGTGCTGGCCAACCATCCTCTCGTGTGCCGTGCCGGCCTTCACAGCGGCTACTCGCTAACAGCACTCGGAGGATAAAGGGGGGAGGCAATTTGCTGGGGGTGGAGGGGGGATCAGACGGGGGGGGGGGGGGGCTCACCTGGGGGGCAGCTGCAGATGGGGGCAGCCTCTCTGCTGTTGCGAACCCTGGGCAGCTAGAGGGGGACAGAAACAGAATGTCAGGACACTCGCCACAACGGCAACAACGCGGTCGATTTGCACAATATGCCGGGGTTTATTTTTACGAACGGGCTTTGTGTTGTGGCTGATTAAATGTCCTCGCAATAAGCAGTGCTGGGATTATCCTCGTAGCACAAGTAGCTACATATGTAGTAGCTGTATATGCTACGGGACCCGCACTTTCAAGGGCTCCGCGCTGAATGCTTTCAAGCTATCAATTCCGGTTCAGCGATTCTGCACTTGCTCTATTATTATAGTACTATACCGCCTTCAACATTTATGAACGACTGGGTGTTTAATGTTAGCGATTTGTCGTATTGTCTGGCTGTAGAGCAAATGGAAAAATACAATTACTTTACTATGAAAGTTAAAAATGTGTGTGTTTTAAAATGTATTTTTTTTATTTAGGGCCTCTTTATAACATATGCTACAGGCCCGCACTAGCTTAATCCCGCACTGGCTATAAGGGACATTTAAATCCAAGTATTCCCATTGCCTGCCTGCGGATAAGCAAAGCTGCGTTGGCTGCAGCTGCTGTGCCCCTTGAATTAATTCGCAATCGTCACTAACATTTAATTAAGCAAGCATTCGCGCGAGCGTATAAGCATGCATGCTAATTGAAGTCTTGCTCTGTCATAGGGAGGTTGAAGTTTCAACATTCGCCGCACGCTGACGGTGTGTGTCCATGCAGAGCGCATAGACGCACCGCCGTTTCGTCAATCCGCTGTTGGATTAGGGACTCCCCACAAGGTGGGGATTGTCGCTAATTGACCATACTTCATCACGGTTCAGGTATCACTCGCCACCAAGGTTGGCCGTGGCCGGGATATCGAGTTCAGGTCGTGTGGGTTAGTAGCGTGGTGCACTAAACACCACCCCGCAGCTCTACGCACACCGGTATACGTTACTAAGATAATGTTTCGATTCGAGTAATACCAACGATGAGTGCAACGACGAGGGCAAGAGGGTAATTGCATCGGGGCGCGACTACAAATCACCACGGTTCAATGTCTCATTAATTTACCTTTAAACGTACTTTTTATGTTCGAAGAGAAATATGACCATTGCAGGATGCAATGAGTGACATTTAATTTGTCTTGACGCTTCGGAAAAAAAAAACATTTTGTGCAACCATGTGAGAAATGGCAAAAATCAGCATCGTGTTGGATATTTATGAAAAGGTCGATGGGATAAAGTGCACACGCTGAGCGGTGGACAAAGTTGTTCGCAAAGGAGAACGGTGGCGCAGTTGTTAGCGCACCGCGCGAGTTCGGTTTGCGACCACAGCCGACTTCAGTGACGAGCGGTGACTGAACCAGGTCCTGCCCCCCCCCTCTCCACACCGACCAGCGTGGTGAAGTATGGTCAAACAACCCCCCTCATTATCCGACACGGTGTGGGGAGTAGTTTCATCTGGCAGCGTATTTCCAAATGCCTCTAAATTATTGTTGTATATTACTGCCCGCAGCCTGCTACAGTACTTGGAAACGTAAACACACACACACACTGTTCCATACACAAATGCTAAATGAAGGCATTGATTTATAAAATAACACTTTGACACTCTTAAACACAGTAGCATGCATTGGGTGACTGCGCATGTAGTCAACCGCAAGCAGGCAGCCTGATAATTTGTGTTACTGTTCACAAGCAATACTTCCGTTGTATGCACGCTTGTGTATAACAATTATTTTATATCGTCTCATTCGTGCAAATTGCGTCTAAAAAACTCTCTTCATATGTACACTACAAACAAGTGCCTGTTTATTAAATCCAGTTTTTATAGATTTTTTTTTCAAATATTGTCAAGGTGCGTGCTTTACAGCTAACATAGCTTAAAGTGTTTCTCCGCAAAGAGGCAATGGGATTTTTTTTACGTGCTCGTGTGAAGGTGGATTTGTTTGGAATTATGAGTCTGGTTCAATATAACGCGAGAGCGCGTATGTGTGTGTATGTCGGTGGCATACATGTGCATATGCTTAGGGTTTTATTGAGTAAATGCAGGACGGCCAAACACGTGGTGTGTGTGTTTTTGAACTTGAGACATTAAAATCTATGTTTTTTTCGGTGAAAACCGAGTCACATTCACCCTTTGTCAAAACGCATGAACGAAATGCATTCGCGATAGAAATTTGCACCAAAAAATGTGTTTAACCTTAACGATCGGTAAATGTTTGCGTTGCTGATTAGGGCCGTGCCCTGACATAAATTATTTATAATCGGATTAAATAATATTCTTAGAATTTTGTTCAATACGTAACGAGGACTATCGTGTTTACTGTTCAATGAATGCTAATGGTTATCGCGGTGACGATGATGCTCAGTTTAATATTCAGTTTCACCGTGGCGATGTTTGACTCAGACTATCATTCGTTAGGGGTCGATACATTGAGTACCACTTTGTGAGAAAGTCAACGGTGGTTTCCTTTATAAAGAGGCTCGCACAAATCTCGATGTATCTGTCTTTCCCCATGCCCCGTGGTAATTTCTCAAAGACACCAGAGATCGTGGCCTTCGTTACATGTAGCTCTATCCATTGTATTTACTCAATAACTTTGAATGAGATACTCCCTACCAGATGCGTTTTTTTTATTGCTTCTGGGAACTAAATTAGCTGTCTTGCCCACCTTCCTGTTGAAACCGATACGTTTCCCAGTCAAAATTGAATATTCAGACTCTTGTTTTTCTCATTACATGTCCAAGAGATCTAACCTTGCCTTCCTCAAATTATTCCTCTTCTTAATTTTCCTTTCGTAGCTGTTATCCGTAATACTATCTATGTCACTCGCCTAGTCTGTCCGCGTCATTCTTAAAAAAAACACGCACAAATGTCTGTTACTTTGTAACAAGCTAGCAACATGTGTAGCTCCCGCCATAGGAATGTCACATTTCCACCACTGGCTCAGAGCTATAAACTCGAGATAAGCAACCGCATCTACGCTCAATTGGGCAAGAAAGAACTTTGATTTGTTTTTTTACTTTCTTCGCTCACGAGTTTCCTATTTTCCCTTGCTCACCCAAGACCCCTTAATATCCCCCTCTTATAACCGCCACCGTTGCTGTTCCCTCTTCATATTCTCATTACACGGCCTACACTCATTCCCCGTTCATTCAACCCATTCATCGTCATTCACTGCCATCAATTTCGCTTTCACCGAATTAACGCAGCATCACAGATTTGCCCCCATTGCTTCCTCTCATCTGTTTCATTCACCTCATCTCCACCATCATTACATCCATATGTGGTACCTTTGTTAATTCTACGTCTAGAAATTAGTTTGAGATAAGATACAATTCTGATTGTTGTTATTGTAAAGAAGAAGAATTTCATTTTATGTGGGTGTCATTCATGCAATTGCATCCCACAACGCCGCACGTTAATTGTTCTTGTAGCAGCTCGCATACATTATGAGCATATTTTATTTATATTTATTTGCTCATAACGTGTGAAGCTTTTGTTGCTAAGCTGCGAGGTGACGAGGCGATAGCGGCAGGGTCAAAGTAGGTTCTTGAACCTGTCTGGAAGGGACCTACTCTACTAACACAGCACTCAACGTTACATTGGCCATATGTTCCAATGTCATATTCACCAGAAACACATATCTTGAGCCTCAGTCAGGCTTTCCTGCCGTACTTACACTTGATTATGCAAACTATAATACGGAGCAATACTGATTTCGGCTGCATGCACACCGTCATAGTTAAACATTTGCTACAATATTACGATTATTATGCACGCTCTTCCCACGTATACAAATGCATAGCTCAACATGATGCTATTGATCACCACACTGATGGCCACGATGCCTAAAACGTCTCGTGCGCTTGCAACATCTCAACATGATGATGATGACGACGGTGGTGATGAACAACAATGACAATAAATCCTGCAACCCCCCCCCCCCCCCCCCGTCAGCACACTCCCCCCATCACCCCCCGACTCAACCTACCTGACTCAGCGCCTTGTGGGGTTCCCTCGGGGTCGAGTCGGAGCCCACGGCCTCCACGCCGCCCTTTGCCGCTCTACTTTCCAGCCTGGCCACGCGCGCCCCCAGGGAGTGGACTATCACCCCGATGGCACACAGCAGCGCCCACATCACCACCTGCCCGGGCGTCGGCAGGCACAGCCGACGCACCAAGGGCTCCCTGGACAAGAGGGCTTTGGCCCTGGAGCCTTCCGTGTGTGCGGATGTGTCCTCCTCTTCTGGTGACCGCGTCTGCTTGTCCATTGCGAATGGCTCCACCGCTCGGGTTGATTGGGCGCTCGTATTTTTGTTGTTCGATATCTGTTGGGCGCGCGCCAGAGGAACGTGGTTTACCTGCGCCGCTCTCGCCAGCTGATTAATAACCGTGGAGGAGGAGGGGGGGGCTTGGGCTGGCTTTCAGCTGTGCTGGCTCCCTCTCTCTTGCTGTGATCAGCACAGTGGAGGTGACGGCCGTGTGGGAGCACCTTGTACGTGTGGGCGAGCTATGAGCGTTCGGGAGCATAGCGGGGGGGGAGGGCTTTAATAAGCTCGCCTTGGCGGAATTCCCAAGGTGCTCCCTTATTTCTTCCCTCCCCCCCCCACCGAACCCTTTTGCTCTCTCCTCTCTCTGGAAAGCGCGCATTTCCAGCTCGGCTGTAGCTTTCATGAGTTTCGGCAGTCGTTATCGTGCCTCCCCCTACAGAAAAATAATCTGCATCCCCCCTCCCTCCCCTCCCACCCACCCACCCCCCGGTCTGCTCTAGCCACGAGCGTGTATCGGCACGAGTATAACAACACGGGGTGACCCCGTAACGTAGACGTCCCCGTGGAAATAAATGGGACGGCCACCTACCGTGGTGGGTCCAGCGAGCGGGTTGAGCGCGCTCTTCGGGAAGCCGCAGAGGGCCGATTCAATCATCTCGGGCGCGGCGTTTGAAATAATCGACAAGTTTCTTAAATCCACCGTGTACGTTTGAGTTGTTCAAATTGCGTTGTGTTGCATTGCCGGTAACCGTATGAATATAAGCGGCTCTTACAAACCGGTTACCGGTTTCCCGCAATTGTGTAACGTCAGGGCTCCAGAGCCGCGTGCGGCTCTTGACGGGCTGCTTCGTGACGTAATGTGTGTAAGTATTCACAATGCATTGCGGCTCCTCAAATATTGAGTTTCCTACCTAATTCGAACAAAACAAATGTACCCTTCTTGTTATTTTGGTTGACGACCCCTGGTCTAGAGCAATGCACATGAACGTCGGAACCGAGAAACGAAGGGAGCTGCCGTGGTCTATGGACTTGCACTGCAGAATGTTCCAGAGATTGATTCTATCTCCGGGCGAGGCACTTGAATCAATAGGTGAAAGTTGGTAAAAATCCGCCCGCCCCACCACCGTTCCATCCAGCAGCATGAGTCGAGCGGCATCAGCCAACAGCATCCGAGTGGCAAGTTGCGTGTGGTGGGGTGAAGTGTGGGTTATATCTAGAGCTCCCTTCAGTGGAGGCCGACATAGTGGGGAGACCAAACTGTATGCTGGGCAAGCGTGCTGGAGGGAGACTCATAGGGCCACGGGGTCAACCGGGTCGTACAAAAAGATGAATTACCTTTGACCCAACCTCCGTGCCTCGTGACATGAGGCACTCTTCCCCAAAAACAAGAGCAAAACGTCCCAGCTGGTTGCATTGCTAAACAAGGGCTCGCTAAGGTCGCGCAGGTGCGTGATGTACGGGAAGGCCTCGGGAAGGCGGCGTGACGTCGTTGTGCTTGGAACACAACCTGGCGGTGCGTGGAATGCGAACCCGTTGTATGCTCGGGGCCGTGAGCTGTGGATTGATGATGCTCAGATTTTGAGTGTTGAACAGGGGGGGTGGGGAGCGCCTACATGGCAACTTCACACCGCATGCTGCTTTGGTGCCCATTGCTCATGTCGGGTTTACGTGCCAGCTTCGGAGTTCGGAGCCACGGGCTCGTTCTTTATTTCGTAACTTGCGCATGCAATTTCACTCTTGCATTGGGGGTTTTTTTGTTGGTGCTTGTTAACAACATGATAGGCCCACACTTGAACCCCCATATTTAAGAGGGAAATATGACTTTCCTCCCAATTACGGCTAATTGCCTGTTGTAATCACTAGCGAAACGTCGTACTCGAATTGTGAATGTTGTGGGGTTTCTCTCCGACTCACGGGTGTGCTGAAGCAGTAAGTAATTGGCAACTTTTGTTTAAGTGACAAACCTTACCGATTGGCTGTCTCGGGTGGTGTCGACACATTCATATTCACGCGATCTAACCAACAAAACCCCTTTATTGTGGATATTGTTTGTGACAGCATACGTGTTAAACATACAGTATAGAAAACATGGGGAAAATCTATTCTCATATTTTGGTACTGGCAATGGAGGTCCCATGACGTAGCTGCTCACCCCGAGCCCTCATTACTCTGATAGTGGCATTGTCTGTTGTCTGTGTGCTGTTCGCCTTTTGGCATCCTCTGGTCTAACACCGTTTTGAGACGAGGCTCAAAAGGAAGCTGTCCCTGGTGTGGACCAGTCGGTTTCAAAGACAATGCATATATTAGCAGAGTAAGTTTTTTGTTTGCATTCTGACCACAATTATTGTGGTTAATACAGACATGATTCCTTGTAAAAGGTTTCAGTTTGGTGTTGTAACATCTTAACACCTGTTTTGTTGCCAGAAAAAAAGGGGAAAACCTATTCTCATGCCAATGTGGCTAAAGATCCAATACAGTAGTGGTGAGTGTAATGGTGGGGCATGTTTTATTTACTGGGTCACGATGTTTCGTGAGAGTACACTGGAGAAAGTCACAACAATATAAGTCAGAAGAGGTGTAATTAGTCCCTGACGTCCACACTTATATACACTCATTAGCCCCGGTATTTCTCCCACTTAAGTAAAACAAATTCTAGATGTGATTTTCACACCTGATGATGATTGCTTGTGTTGCAATCGAAACGTCGTGATTTAATTCCCTTTCTAAAAAAAAATACCTTCGTGACTTTACCGAAAGAACCAAAAAGTATGGATCCTTGCAGTCACGAAAACTTCAAATCTAGAATGAAGGTGTAATTAGGCACGGATATATGATCTCACCAAACGTTATTTGTCGCATTGGTTTTTCCCTTAAGCATAGACGTGCATGTTATGCAAGAGTGTGTCAAATCTGTACGTGTGGCACTTGCTTAACACGTAATCGGATCCGATTCTAGATGAGTCAAAATATCAGCAAAATTCTTGGACACGCGTTGAACATAGCATGCAATAGCGACCTCTATTGGCACGCGTAACAACATTTTGATGAGCAGCATGGCGAGCATAAATAAGAAAAAAATATAAGGGCAGACAATGTTTCCTTTATGTATCCGGACCTCCGCATTCAAAATAAAGTTGTTTGTTTACAAAACCCATCAGCCCAACGGTCTTCTGGAAATGCACAATTTCAACAGCGTTTATTCAGTACAAATAGTCGACTTACGAACACCCGACGTACGAACAACCGTGTTACGAACCAGCTTCCGTGCGATGTTTTTTTTTACATCGACTTGAAACACGAACTCGCATTTGCAAGCTGAAGTGCGGAACTATTTTGTTCGGTGGAGCGATCCTCCGCGAGATGCAATGAGTCAGCCTCGCGCTGGGAGTGAGCGTGTGTGGGTGTGTGTGTCCATAACACTGGTCAACACACTTTATCTGGCATAAGGTATTCCAACAATTTTAAGGTAATTTTGGGGTGCTGATTCCAAATCTGGCATCAGTTTTTGTCTATCACATCTGGTTTGAGATATCAAATATTGAATTTTCAATAAAAACTGCATAGGAAAAATATTAAATAAATGTGGATATCTACATAAAATGATATTATAAACACACTATCCTAAAAATACAGCACCATATTTTAACACTAAAGCAGTCACTGACTCGCAACAACTTGCAATCATAAGTGACATCACCACCTGCCCGGGCGTCGGCATGCCGATAGCATAAAAATGAGATGTGATAGAGCAAATCTGAGATCAGATTTTGAATCAGCACCCTGAAATTAGTCTAAAACAGCTGCAAAAGTCCAGGCCAGAAAATTTTTTTTTTTTGTTGACCAGTGTAATAAACGTTTTTGGGTTGGATTGCGTTATTTATAAATGTGTCGTAACCCTCCACCACCCGACACGGCCAATCAGAAAAAAGTGTCACGTTGACAAAAGACAAAATAGTTCACTACTTTAGCCCACCGGTGTGTTGAAGAGTGGATCCACAACATTTCCAATTTTTGAGTACGACGTTTCACTGGTAATCACATACAGCCTCATCGGGCAATAAGTAGAAAAGAAATCTGTTTATTTTCACTTAACTGGAGTTAAGGGGCGTCATGAATCCCAACAATTGCGTACACACACCAACGACAACGATCCCCCGTATAGTCTTAACAGACTGTTGGGGCAAGTGCTGTTAGCGAGCAGCGCCTATGAAGGCTGGCACGGCACACAAGGGGGTGGGTGGCCAGCACCACGCCCGGCCGCTTTTGTCTCCCAAGTGACGATGTTTTTTTACACACCGCGCCAGATACTAATTTGAGGCTGAGTCTACCTACGGGGATGCCAATGACCCATTTAGATAATCGTATCTGGTGTTGGTCGTGAGCAGGAATCGAACTCGGGTCGCCGGGTTCGTAGCAAAGCGCAGTAACTGCTACACTGCCGCTCCACACACACACATGCACAACACCCAACTCACGTTCACACACACGTGTGTGCGCGCGCGCACATACACACAGTCACTCATAGCGCGAGGCTGACTCATTACATCTCACGAAGGATCACTCCGACGAACAAAATAGTTCCACGATTCAGTTTGCATGTACAATTTCGCGTTTTAAGTCTATGTTAAAAAAAGTTATATTTCACGGAAGCTGGTCCGTAAGTGAGGTTGTTCGTAAGTCGATGACTATCTGTATACGGTATGCAAATTCTATGATACTGAGATGTGTCGCTGAATGAGCATCGTGTAAGCTGTGATGTCACAAAGCAAAACGGAATTATATCGTCTATGGCAAACCCACTACATCTCACCAGATGCGAATTCGACATCATTAGACCTCCTTTGCCAGTACCAAAATATAATAATAGGGTTTTTCCCCTTTTTTCTGGCAACAAAACTGAAACCTTTTTACAAGGAATCATGTGTGCATTAACCACAGTACTTGTGGTCAAAATTCATAAAAACCACACTGATTATAATATATGCATTGTCCTTGAAACTGATTGGCCCACACCAGAGACACCTTTCTTTTGAGCCTCGTCTCAATTGGTGCTCGACCAGAGGACGCCAAAAGGCGTACAGCTCAAAGACAATGCGCTATCAAAGTAATGAGGGCTCGTGGTAAGCGTCTCCATCAAATGCGAATTATTCGTCTGGTGCATCATTGAGCGTGGCGATATACGACTTCATCGCTAGATGGCGGTAGGTGACAGAAAATGCTACATTTGTAAGCCTATGCTCTTCCGCTAAATAAACTACGAGATTCTGCCATGGC